CTTTTTAGTGTCATTTCAAATTAATCTCAATTTTTTTAAACATTTCAAACAAGTACCCAACCTATTGAAAATGTCACATTCGTTAAGTCCCAGTTAAAACTTTGTTAAATTAACTAAAGATTACTATGTCTCCAAAAACAATAGAAGGTCATGGAAGCATAGCCTTCACCAATTAATGTCACCACCACCACCATCAGGCCATCACCTCCAAACCCAATGCAAGACCACCAACCCCACCCTACAACTCAAGCCGCCAACATTAAGAAGAATGTCATGAATGTTGTGGAAATGGTATAGATTGCCATGTCGCGGTCAGCACCATATTCAATACCGTTTGATCATTGGGTTCCTTATTATATAATCTATGTTTGAAATTTAGATTTTGAGTCAACTAATATTAATGTTGACCATGATATACCTTGTTGGTGAGTTTTGAATATAAACTATGTTTGAAAAATTAACTGGGGCTTAATGGCTGTGGCATTTTTAATAGGTTGGGTACTAGTTTGAAATATTTAAAACTGTTGAGACCAATTTGGAATGACACTAAAAAGTTGGGGAGTTTTAGGTACTTAATCCAAAATAATATTTAAACCATAATCTAATTCCAAGTCTTGGTTTGCTACATCAGTTGTTCACCATCAACCTGCCTTTTCGGCTGTCGTCCAACACACGTTCAGGACTTCGTTGGCTTCAACCCAGTTGCGTTGCTTGACGAGCTTGCGCACGTTTGGTAAGCCAGGGGCTGTTCTCGGCTTGAGGTCTTGTGGAGCCAAAGATGGGGATGCAGTAGGGCTTGCTCAGCGCTTTAGGAGATTTTGAACCTGGGGAGGAACTGTGGCGTAAGCTTCGTCATTGTCGGTAGGCTTCCTTTTGCAACTGTTCGGTTTGCTTGGACTGTTTGGAGTGTTTTGGTGCAGTTGTGGTGAGTATAGTACGGGTTACGGTGAGAAAGCGCGGCCATGGCCACGCCGCCACAGAGTGAGAGGACCAAGTTGCCCAAAAAAAAAAGAGAATTTAAGTCAGGATGGTTTTGGATTTTCCAGAAATGAGCTGGTTGGAGTTTTGTTGAGATATTTCAAACAATAAATTCAAAAATAAAAAAAATAAAAAATAAAAAAGAAGATTTTTCGCTTCCTTGAGTCGAACCCGGTATATCAATAATCCAAGTTTACTATTGCTACAGAAGAATTGTTGTATGTTTTCTTCACTAATTATATTTAAACAAAATCTCAAGATTCATTTGTTCATTTATTTAATTTTCTACTAGGAGAGTGATTTTATGTAGAATTTGTTTTTTTTTTTTTTTTACGTTTTGAAAAGAAATTTTTTTATTTGAATCCATGTAGCATCGCTTTATATCTAGTTATCCATTTCACTCGTACTATTTTTAATTAAAATCTACATTTCTTTACACTTAAATTTACTATCTAAACTACATTCATATACCAAATTCACCATGTAAATTTATCTTTACATCTATTTAAAAAATAAAAAATCCAACTCAAAACATACTTTCTCTCCTTCCAATTTAGACCATCAATCCTAGTACACTCGTCTTATAAAGATATATAAAAATAATAAAAGATAAATATAACAAATAAAAATGGATAACTTGTCAAGTATTCATTGATGTGGAGCCAAAAATAATCTCAAAAATCTTAGAGATGACATGTGGACTTTACCCCGAAGAAGACAAGATTGCCTTCATTAAATGGGCAGGGCACACAAATATTCCCACGCACAGCTTAGCATCCCTGGAAGTTCAAGCAGCAGATTACGACTGCTCAAAACTCATTGCTCGTGAGTCATCAAAGATAGGATTAAGACCACGTCAAATGGAACATCTTATGTTCCTATTCCTAGAAATTTTTATAAGTTCTTTGAATAGCCATGGGAAAGTAATATGATGGCGGGAATTTTAAGACCACGACGAACGGAACATCCTATGTTCAAGGATATAGACTAGACGATGGAGATCACAATGTGGCCCCACGTTGTCCTTCCTTGAGGCTCAACACAACAACCTTACCACCACGGAACACCTCCACTACAGTGGCTCAAGGTGCGGATCCAGTGGCCACAAGGACTGCCCAAGTAGTAAACTAGGGCCAGGAGGCCACGATGGAGAAACAATAATAGTTGTAGCCCATGAGCTGCATGCCCAGGCGCGAGAGGCAACCCAAACTGGAGCTTTATGCAAGGCCTATAATACACCGTAGACAACGCAAGCCCAGGAAAGGGGTGGACTATTCCACAGGCCAGACGGGCCCAACTGATACACGGCTCAGCTTGTGGCACCCACCCTAATAGTCAACCAGGTGGGTTGACTCGTACCCTCACCTTGACCCGCTTTAGTGGCCCAGTTGTCACTCCAGACCGTTCCCAGAATGGTTCAATGACCTGGTTCCAAGTTCCCAGATTGGTTCAATCGACCTGATTTCACATTCCCAGACTGGCTAAGGTTGGATAGACCCCACCTATTTTTTCACATATTTGACCCGTCCCGGCTAGAATTTTGCACCTATAGTCCATTACACTTCCCTTACTCATGGAAACGCTTGCCATCCAAGCTCTTCCACCCGAATGGTGAACAAAACCTGTCTCGACATGTCCAGATTTGACAAGCGCCCTCGCACAGCAAATAACTTTGGTGAATCAGCTCATGTAGCACATCAAGACTCAGCGCACTCTGAAGAGGTATCCCAAAGTAGGATGAGGGTAGGCGACTACGTTTCTTTCTAGCAGCTTGCCAATAAATGACCACTCAACTAGCCACAAACTGAACGTTCTGGTAGTGTTCACTCCCGCCTAGGCCCTGAGATAATGTTTTCTCTCATTTCAGTGTGCAGACAAACTTTCACTCCCACCTGGTCCATTGGCAAGTGTGCATTCACTGTTGGGTACACACTCCGACGAGCATCCTTGGCACAATTTCAAGAGTACAAATTCAGCCAGTCACTATCACCAAAATGCATTCCTTAATGGAATATTACAAGAAGAGGTCTATATAGGACAACCACTAGGCTTTGTGGATTCTCAGAAGTCTACTTATGTTTACAAGTTACATAAGTCTTTTTATGGTTTAAAACAAGCCTCAAGGGCTTGGAATGAAAGGTTTACTAGTTTTCTTTCTTTTCTGGGCTTTCTTTCCTTATTTGAGAAATGTGTTTGACAGTTTGTTGTGATCATTCTTCTCTATGTAGATGATATTATCATCATAGGTAGTGCCATTGTTGTAGTCACTGAGGTTATTAGTGCTCTAACCAAGGAAGCTGATATTAAAGACTTGGAACCATTGTATTACTTTCTTGGGATTCAAATTACTTAGAATTCTGATGATTTGTTTCTTTCTCAAGCCAAATATGTTTCTAATTTGCTTGTAAAGATTGAATGGAACTGCAAATCCATGTGCTACTCCTTGGTTGCCATACAATAGGTTGTTAAATGATGATGGGAAACCTTTTAACAATTAAGAGTTGTACATAAGTATTGTAGGGGTTCTTCAATATCTTATCTTCACCAGGCCATGTATTGCATTCTCAGTTCACCAAGTCTGTTAGTTTATGCATTGTCCTATGGAATCTTATGTTCTTGCTATCAAAAGAATCCTTATGCATTTGAAAGGTACACAGACTTATGGTATTCAATTTGTTAAAGGTGCTTTCGATGGACATGCATTTAGTGATGTTGGCTAGGCTAGAGTCCTTGGGACCCTAATGACAGAAGGTCAACAACTGAATTGGTAGTTTTTTTGGGGTCTAATCCTACTTCATAGTCCTCCAAGGAACAAAACACAGTCTAGGTCTTCTACTAAAGCAAAATATAGAGTCATCACTTTTACTGTTGCTGAAATTGATTGGATTAGGCAATTGCTTTGCCTTTCTGCATATCTTTGTACCTACTCCCTCTACATTGTTTTGTGATAATTTATTTGCTATTACTCTTACTTGTTATCTAGTCATGCATCAAAGGACCAAACACATTGAGATTGATGTGCACTTTGTTAGAGAAATGGTGGCTAAACAACTTCTGCGTATGTAGTTTGTTTCACCTAATCAATAGTTTGCTGATATACTGACTAAAAGTTTTTCATCCCCATTGTTTCATACTCACTGTTGCGATCTCAAGCTTGGACCTTCCTCTCCTAAGCTTGAGAGGGGATGATAACAATATGGAATCAATGGTTTTATTAAGTGTCATGTGGCAATAGATTAGGGAGTTTGTAATGATAATGTTGTTAAGTTGTAGATAAGGTTGTTAAGTGTTTGCTTAGTCATTAAGCAAGTCTAAAGATATATAAATCAATTGTATATGTAAGAAATCATTACAGAAATAGAAACTTCTTTCTTCTTCCTCAGGCTCTCTTTCTCTCTCCGAATCTCTTAATCTTACGATCTATACTCTACAACATTCTCTGTTGTTTTACATCTTCTGCTGTTGCTCTCCTAGTTTCTTGTACGCAATTTCTTTGGCCCCTAGCGTGACCCGTGTACGGGGCTTGAACTAATTTTGTAGTCATTTTATTAAGTGAGTTCAACGACATGAAGACCCAGCGAGTGTCCATGGAGTTGCATACGAGAGGGGTCTTTTGAAGTCTTGTTAACGACTCGAACAGCACTTGCACCGTTTTTTGTGCAGTGTGCACGTTAGTGCAGCCTTCTTATCCAACGTGTAGGCTTTCTACAGCGGTCTTCTTCTTCGTCGGCATCTAGGGCAACAGCACACCATTTGGTGCACTATGCGCATTAGCCTTCGTTTCCAATACCGGCAGTATCCATCTTCGTAGTAAGCAATTTCTCTTCTTCTTGACTCCAAGACTGCGGTGACAGGATTGCTTTTTGTCTTTCATTTGCTACTATGTTGATACTTGATTACCAATTCTTGTCTGCCAATTTGCCAACTTCATCAAGCCCAATCCCTCCTCGTGGTAGCTAAATTACCATCTCCTACTACCATAAATTTCCACCAGCAACTTCATAGTGTGCTTCACAAGAAACTGAACTCCCAACCTCATGATGGTATTAATAAGCATTACTGTAGTGCAATGAAAACACAACAACTTCCTTTTACAGTAAACACATTCAAATAATTTTTAAACTAAAACTTCAACTGCTTGAAAACCCCATTAGTTGTATCTCTCATGTTTGCTTGATTAAGTTTGGCATACAAACGACATGCAAGTCTAACATAGTGAAGTGCGGGTAAATTTGCAGGCTCCTCATGGAAAATGGTAGTGATTAAGAAGGTATGGTTAACCTCTCATTGCTTGCGTTGAATTGCGGGAGGTTTACTTCTTGAGGAAGAAGATGGTACTTTATGCCAAGATTTTGGAAAATCTTCTTCAGTTCAAACACTAGCTCTGATCTTCGAGCACTCTTTTCCCCATAATTTTGATGGTTCATGGTGTGTTGAACACACAGCATCATTTTCATCTTGTCCACATTCTCAATCTCCTTCACTATGACCGAGTGTTTTGAGGACCAATACTTTGGCTTGCTGTCAATATATCTGCACAAATTCCATGAGCATTTTTAACCAAAAAATAATTCCTCAACATATATTAAAATGTAGTGACATTGTAGTATTATTGCCACCTATCAGTGTGTGCCAAGTGTTATACTGTAACTTTTCGCAGTAAATAGTAGCAATTCCACACGTGAAAAAAAAATATGGAAGAGAGAATTTAGCAAGAAATGTGAAAGAGTTTAATTTTGGGAATTGTTATTGGCACTCCAAAGTTCTCATTCTACACTCCAAAATTTTCTATATTTAGAAAGAAAAATACACTTGTGAGGAGTGTAGAATGAGATTTTTAAAGTGTCAATAACACTTTCCTTAATTTTTTTTCTAATATTTTTATGTAGAGAAAATTAGTAATCTATCATTGTTGGTGCACAAAATCAATGAAACTTTAGAATAACGTAAAGTGTCAAGTTTGGTTGCTCCGGTCACCCATTGAGGATAATACGTAAAGAGATAGAGACAGGAAAGCAAACACAAGATGTACGTAGTTCACCCTAAGTTTGGCTAAGTCCATGGGGTAGAGGAGTTCTCATTAATAGTGAAGGGTTTACACATTACATAGGCACTTATTATAAAAATGATCCCATATGGCACTTATTGTGTTTGAATTAGATGTTCTTAGTAATGAAACACTAACTTCTTTTCAAAAAAAAAAAAAAAAAATGGTATCACTAGAATAGCTTTTATAATCAGTGTGTATTTTTTTAGCTTGATCATTTCATGGTTATGCAAGCTATTTAACAAGTCAAAAATGGAAATATGAAAGGTGGATGAGGTGGGTTGCTTACAATTGTATGGCCTTCTTGAGTGCAGAAACATCATCAACTGGAGTAGAGACATCAATTGTGAAATCAATACTGTCAGCCATATCTGGACTCCTTCTGAAATTGCTAATAGGCTTTGTAAGAAGCACAGAATTGGGGTAGAATATTTTTTCATTGTCGTATCTTAAGAAAACGGTTGACAAAATGTTCATCTCTTCTACAACCATCTGCATAAAAATAAGCATTGAACGTTATTATTTCATCCAAGAGGAATAAATAACAAGACCAATAGCAATACTCCTTATGCAATGTTAGTATTGCTAGGGCTACTTAATTTGTTCACTAAGGGGTAAATTCCAACGGATTTGGCATAGCAATGAACAAATAGATAATAAAAAGTTAGATATGAGGAATTAGGAATACACTACATGAACTAATCAATAGGCATATGCGAAGAATTTTCAAATAATTACTTGAAATATGTCATTTAAAAATCTTACAACTTTGAAATACTCATATTAACTTCTTTTCCATCCCCTACTCATAAAACCTTTTTTTTTAGGTCATTATCATACATAGTAAATTGTATTTACACCCTATAAAGTTCTCGATCGCCACAAGTTTTCTAGCTTTTTTGGCCAAATTTTCAGTCGGTCCAATTACAAATTACTCCCCCAAAATCTTCTTTACGTACCTATATATGTATTCAATTGGGCTATTCGTCAACAAATGAGCCCTTAAATTCCAAATTAGGGAACGCATGATAAAAGAAAATTTCTTAGGAGATGACTGAAGAAAAAAGGTTTGGGTTATTAGTATAATTTCCTGCAGGAGGTAATCTGAAAAGTAGAGTATATAATATCTCTGACCTGAACTCCATCCACCACACAACGATCACCAACATCAAATGGATGCATCACAAAAACGAAGATGATAGACTCGAACACAGTTTTGCACATGTTCTGGAACATGAATCCCACAAGCAGCAGTTGAGAAGTAACAACAAAGATCACCTTAGTTGTGGCCAGACCCATCACCAAAAGAGTCACCACAGTTATGATCACAATTACGATTGCACTCGCCAACTTGTGAAGTTGATGGACAGCAGTCTTGGTATCATTCAAGGAGTGAGCCAATGCTTTACGCTCAATATAGGCATGCACCTATAAAACCCGTCAACCAATTTTATAAAATTATTAGGAAACGAGTAGTGCTATATATAAAATTAGCTTTGTATATCTAAATAGGTCAATGTGTGCCGTTTTGATTCGATTCAGTTTCATGTCTCTTTCTGTAAGTTTTGGCAACAACAGCTATATTGAGTGAGGAAATTGCTAAATGTGAATTATGTTGAAACTCACCACCCAATTTCTAAAGGACGACTTTGTAACTTTTCCCGTTTCAATCGCTCCTTCAAAGAGAGGAAATATGGTGTGAATTTCATCACTCTTCAAGAACCGTAGTAAATCATCCTCTTCTATGTATCTGTATAAGGACGGCCAGACGAAGGAAAAAAAAAAGAACTTTGAGCCTTTGAGAATTGTATCATCGAAGCCTGGTCGGTCTCAATTATCTAGGCTACGGTTCATGAACAAAAAACATAGCATAAAATGACTGAATGATTGAATAAGTAAGAAGCTCTCAATTAGGAGGCATTAAGTTTCCTTTGAATCGTTATTATATAAAATAAGTATAATCATTTGAATCGTTATTATGTATAAAACAAGTGTAATCATAAACCAAGTCTAGTGAATGCATACTTTTGTAGGCTTAAAAAATTTAAAAGACGAGACACTTTTTGAGTATCATTAACAATTTAATTTTGTAATACCAATAATACTGTCTTGCTATATATTTTGTACATGCTATGTTCCAGGATTATCACACAATAAAACATATTATGTCTAATAAACATCCAAAATTAAAAAGAATTTGTGATCATCTTAGATGACAAACAATATATTAAGGGTAATGTTATCCACACACCTATTTTTACTCCTCATACACCTTCTCAATTTTCGGTATCGAATCGAATGAATTGAAAAAGATCAATGACAAAATTAACAAGGGTGTTTGTGTTGGAAATTCAAATTAAAAGTCATGTGATCTGTCCATGTGATGCTAACCTTTCTTTACAGATTGTTTCCAGCAAAATATAATCATCATTGCTCCTTCATTATTCAGCCGAATGGTGATGAAAGACAGCAAGTGTGCTACCATGTGATGTGCTAGCAGGAAGACAGCAGTGTGCTGCCATGTGCTAGTCGAATCTGTGTTATTTGCAGCTGGAAAGACAGCTGCTGTGTGCTAGCCGAATGTAGACAACCTGGAATACATTTGGTCTTTTCTTTTTCACGTTCCCATGTGTTAAAGACAGCAGATATGCTGCTGTCTGTGTGCTGTCTATTGATGGTGTAAAGGTGTAGGTTGTCTTGTATTTAAGGAAGCCTCTCGTAAGGCTTTAGTGTGTGAGAAAAATCCCATCTGATTTGTCATTCAGTTCTAGAAGTGTATTTGCAATCTGTTTTTAATATCAAAGTGCCTTGTTTCCCAAAGCTTGTAGCTTCCCTCATTTCTCTATTTTTGTCCAGTTTTATTGAGAGTGAAAGTGAGAGGTGTGATAGAGTTTGTAAACTTATCACCCACATATTTTTGGTATTGAGTTAGTAAATACCAACAGTTGGTATCAGAGCCAGAATACCATTCTGGCAGGTGTAGCAGTTATGGCATCCAACTTAGGGCTGGTTTGGTATTGCTGTGCTTTGAAAAAAAGCTGCTGTGAGAATAAGCGGCTGTGCTGTGAGAATAAGCGGCTGTGAAATAAAGCCAGTAGAGTGTTTGGTAAACTTTTTTGTGAAAGTGCTTTTGGAAAAAAAATCAGGATGATAGTGTGTCTTTTCATTAAAGGAACACTGTAGCTTCGTGTGCTTTGAAAAACTGGCTTTTTTTTTCAAAGCAGCAAATAGCAGCTTCAGCTTTTCCTTTGATTTTCAGCTTATTCTCACAGCAGCTTCCAAAATAAGCCCTTTTTTTTCAGTTTACCAAACACAAAAATGACCCTCAGCTTTTTTTCACAGTGGCTTTTTTTAAAATCACCTCAATCCCAAACGGGGCCTTAGTGCAGCTCCAAGTTCCCACATTGAAGAAAGAAAATTATGAAAGATGGTGCATCCAATTCAAAGCATTGTTTGGATCACAAGAGCTATGGGAAGTTGTCAGTAATGGGTATGTTGTACCCACTACCGAGCAAGAAGCCACATATACTGCAGATCAAAGGAACACTCTCAAGGATTTACGAAAGAAGGACCAGAAGGCGTTGTATCTTCTCTATCAAGGATTAGAAGATTCAACGTTCGAGAAGGTTGCAGAAGCAACAACGAGCAAGCAAGTGTGGGACACACTCAGTACAATCTACAAAGGAGTAGATCGAGTCAAGAAAGTGAGGTTACAGTCACTTCGAGCAGATTTTGAAACTGCTCACATGAATGAAGGGGAGAGCATCTCCGACTATCACTCAAGGCTCATTGTGATAGTAAATCAGATGAGGAGAAATGGCGAGAGACTCGATGAAGTACAAGTTGTGGAGAAGATACTTCGGTCACTCACATCTAAGTTTGAGCATGTGGTGACTGCCATTGAGGAATCCAAGAATTTGGAGGCGATGAGCGCAGAGGAGCTACTAGGATCCCTCCTAGTTCACGAGCAACGCATTCAGAAGAATGCAAGCCCCACAACACTAGAGCAAGCTTTGGAGTCAAAATTGAAAATTGACAAACCAAATAAAGGTCGTGGGCAGGGGAACTCATGTCGTGGGAGTTCATCCAACCGTAGCCGAGGACGAGCTCGAGGAAGAGGTCGAGGCTATGAACAAAACTGAGGTCAATCTCAAGAGTGGAGATCTACCCGAGGAAATGCGCATATCCAATGTCACACTTGCAAGCAATATGGACATTATGCAAATGAATGTTCATATAAAAATGGTGAGCATGTCGACATGGCAGAATCAAATGGAAATGCTGGTGAGGAACTTACAGTCTTGCTAGCACACCATGATTCCAGTAGCCAACAAGATGTTTGGTATTTGGACTCTGGTGCAAGCAATCACATGTGTGGAAAGAATGAGTTTTTTGCCGAACTCAAAGATGGGGCCTATGGATCTGTAAGTCTTGGTGACTCCTCACAGTTGCCAGTTGAAGGCAAAGGGAAGATCAAAATCATCCAGAAGGATGGTAGAGAAGAATACATCTCCGATACCTACTACATACCAGGTATGAAGAGCAACATTCTGAGCATTGGTCAACTGCTCCAGAAAGGGTACATTATACATATGGAGAACATGCTTCTCACTCTCAGGAATGCAAGGAGAAAGCTTATTGCACGTGTTCGAATGTCAAAGAACCGGATGTTCCCGTTGAATTTGAACACAAAGATTGGAAGCTGCAACATCGGTGTAATGGAAGATGAGTCATGGAAATGGCATCTTCGATTTGGCTATCTTCATTTCAATGGCCTAAAGTTGCTGTCAAGTGGAGGAATGGTTCGTGGTCTACCCCAAATTGAAGCCACACGCCAAGTATGTGAAGGTTGTGTCCTTGGCAAGCAAGCACGACTATCGTTCCCTGTTGGTGATACATGGAGAGCAAAGGCACCACTGCAGTTGGTGCACACAGATATATGTGGTCCATTGGATCCCATGTCTATGGAGGTAATAGGTATTTTATTACTTTCATTGATGATTTAAGTAGGAAGACTTGGGTTTATTTTCTCAAGGAGAAGTCGGCTGCCCTAAGAATCTTCAAGGAGTTCAAGGCACTCACAAAGGCTGAAAGCAACCACAAGCTTGTGGCTGTGAGATCAGATAGAGGTGGAGAGTACACCTCCAATGCTTTCCAAGCATACTGCAAGGAGCAAGGAATTAGGCATCAACTGACTGCTGCCTATACCCCACAGCAAAATGGGATAGCCGAAAGAAAGAATCGAACCATCCTTGACATGACAAGGTCCATGCTTAAGGAGAAGAATTTGCCAAAAGAATTGTGGGCAGAAGCTGTAGCTTGTTCGATTTATTTGTTGAATCGATGTCCAACAAAGAGTGTCAAGAGGATGACACCACAAGAAGCTTGGAGTGGATACAAGCCAAGTGTTGCACACCTAAGAGTTTTTGGGTGTGTTGCATATGCTCAGGTTCCAGAAACCAAGAGGAGAAAGCTCGATGATCGAGGTGAAAAGTGTGTGTTTGTGGGCTATAGTGAAGAGTCCAAGGCATACAAGCTCTACAACCCACTAACTGGCAAACTAGTGGTTAGTAGAGATGTCATCTTCAGTGAGGAAGAGGCATGGAAGTGGAACAACAAAGAAGTCAGTAAAGAGAAGATCGTTTCCACTGATTTTGAAGAACCAGAAGTTGTACCACCTGTTGAGCAACAACCTGCTCAAATAATCACAACAACTCCAGTGCACAGAATTGCAAGGAGTGGTCCTACATCTAGTGAAGAAAGCAGCTCTTCAACTCCAGTGAGACTAAGAAGTCTCACCGAGATATATGGACAAGAAGAAGAAGAAGAAACCAACCTTTTCTGCTTGTATGCAGACCACGAGCCTCTCTCATTCAATGAAGCTGTGGAAGAAGATCGTTGGAGAATAGCCATGGAGGAAGAAATCCATGCCATCGAGAAGAATGACACTTGGGAGTTGACAAAGCTCCCACCAAATCAGAAGGCAATTGGTATCAAGTGGGTGTACAAGATCAAACGCACTGCAGATGGGAGTGTGGATCGGTACAAATCAAGGCTTGTAGCAAAGGGCTACAAACAGAAGTATGGAGTGGACTATGATGAAGTCTATGCTCCAGTTGCAAGACTTGACACGGTAAGATTGCTAATCTCTCTTGCCGCTCATCATAAATGGAAAATTTATCAACTAGATGTCAAGTCAGCCTTCCTTAATGGAGTTCTTGAGGAAGAAGTGTATGTGGAACAACCAGAAGGCTTTCAAGTACAAGGAAAAGAAGATAAGGTGTATCGTTTGAAGAAGGCTTTGTATGGCCTCAAGCAAGCACCACGAGCTTGGAACTCAAGGATTGATAACTACCTTCACCAAAATGGATTTCAGAAATGTCTATACGAGCATTCAGTTTACATGAAGAATGGTACAAAAGGGGAGTTCTTAATTATTTGTCTCTATGTAGATGACTTGCTGTTTACAGGAAATAATGAAGCAATGTTCTATGAGTTCAAGCAATCCATGTTCAGTGAATTCGAGATGACTGACAATGGATTAATGTCATACTTTCTTGGCATAGAGGTGAAGCAAGAAAGTGACGGTATCTACATCTCTCAACAAAAATACATGAGAGATATATTGGAGAAATTCAATATGGATAAGTGCAATATTGTCAACACTCCAGTTGCAACTGGATTGAAGCTGTCCAAGGAAGGAGAAGGTGAGTTTGTAAACTCAACCGTGTACAAAAGCTTGGTTGGAAGTCTAAGGTACCTTACAATCACAAGACCTGATATAGTTTATGGTGTTGGACTCGTGAGTCGGTACATGGAAACACCAAGGGAGTCTCATTGGCTGGCTGCCAAGAGAATCTTGAGGTACATAAGAGGTACTCTAAACTATGGTCTGTTTTATAATTTTGGTGAAGATGCAAAATTATTTGGTTATTCAGATAGTGATTGGGGAGGTGACCAAGATGAAAGGAAAAGCACAACTGGCTATGTGTTTTTTCTAGGATTAACAGCTTTCTCATGGACTTCAAAGAAGCAATCAATTGTTGCTTTGTCATCATGTGAAGCCGAGTATGTTGTTGTAGCCTCAACAGTATGTGAAGCAATTTGGTTAAGAAATCTATTGAAGTCAGTGTGTCATCCACAAGTGGAATCGACTGTGATTCATGTGGATAACATGTCTGCAATCAAGCTTGCAAAGAATCCTATTCAACATGGAAGGAGCAAGCACATTGATACCAGGTTCCATTTTCTAAGGGACCATGTGAAGCAAAAGACAATTGAGCTTGTCTATTGTCACACGAAGGAACAAGTGGCAGACATCTTCACTAAGCCATTACCAGTTGAATCATTCCGGCTGTTACGTGAAATGCTAGGCATGAAGGCGTTTTAATTTGAGGGGGCATGTTGGAAATTCAAATTAAAAGTCATGTGATCTGTCCATGTGATGCTAACCTTTCTTTACAGATTGTTTCCAGCAAATTATAATCATCATTGCTCCTTCATTATTCAGCCGAATGGTGATGAAAGACAGCAAGTGTGCTGCCATGTGATGCTAGCAGGAAGACAGCAGTGTGCTGCCATGTGCTAGTCGAATCTGTGTTATTTGCAGCTGGAAAGACAGCTGCTGTGTGCTAGCCGAATGTAGACAACCTGGAATACATTTGGTCTTTTCTTTTTCACGTTCCCATGTGTTAAAGACAGCAGATATGCTGCTGTCTGTGTGCTGTCTATTGATGGTGTAAAGGTGTAGGTTGTCTTGTATTTAAAGAAGCCTCTCGTAAGGCTTTAGTGTGTGAGAAAAATCCCATCTGATTTGTCATTCAGTTCTAGAAGTGTATTTGCAATCTGTTTTTAATATCAAAGTGCCTTGTTTCCCAAAGCTTGTAGCTTCCCTCATTTCTCTATTTTTGTCCAATTTTATTGAGAGTGAAAGTGAGAGGTGTGATAGAGTTTGTAAACTTATCACCCACATATTTTTGGTATTGAGTTAGTAAACTTCTCAATACCAACAGTTTGGGAGGTAAAAATAGGTGTGCGAATAGCACTATCCTATATTAAACCGTCTAATAAGAGCACTGTTTCTATAAAAAAAAATTATTGTTACTCTTGGCCAAGAATACTAAACCATGTAACTTAATGGCATATTTATTAACAAGAAATGAAATTCGAAAGAATGAGTATCATTCTTAGTCATGTATTCATTAGTTAACAACCAGATGAATGAAGAAATAGGTGGCCCCATAAGTTTTGGGTGTGATAGATATTAAAAATGAAGGTATCCCATTAATGTAGGAAATTGTTTATCTTATATCTCATTCCTTCTCATACTAATTTCATTTTACACAAAAAAACGTAAGTAAACACACCACTACCAGAAATTACCATTTGCCCAACGAAACGTAATTCGTCGGGCAAATAGTCTTTACTTGAAGGAATACAAATTGTTGTCGGGCAAATACAATCAATGTTTTGGTCTCTTCAGAGGCTTTTGCGTGGCAAAATAAGTTCAATAGGCAAAGTGTCATTTGTCAGGTTAAGGTTTCGTGCCAAGTGAAAAATTCGTCGTGCGAATGTATATTTTATGTTTTAGGGTTTAGGAACACGTGTCATACTTTTAAACCTTTGCCCGACATACCCTTCTATCGAGAAAATATCTTATATGTTACAACACCGAGAAGTTTCATCTTCTTCCTCCTTGTGGCACGTCCTGAACTTTATCTCTCTCACTCCCTCTCTCTAATGTCTCTCTCTACTCTCTCATGTCTTACAAAGGTTTCTCTAACTCTTTTTTTGAAATTTTTTTGTAAGGTTACGTGATTGTGACATTTATGATTGTGAAATTGTAGGATTTGTGGGTGTGGGTTTGGTTGGGTGAGGGTTAGGGTGTGGGGAGGGTGGGGAGCGGGGGTGGACGAGGTGGGTAGTTTAGGGGCTGGTGGATTTAGATGGGTGTGGGTTGGGCAGTGGCGGAGCCAAGATCTTACATCACGGGGGGCATTTTACAAATATGAAATTTTATTTTTTAATGCCTAAAATACAAGATAGATTGGTTGTATTTCGATTTATTTATCTCAACTCAGAAAAATATCATACCGCATCAACCATATAGTCACATAATCCAACTAATATTTAAGAGCAGATGGACTAGAAGTTCAAGCCAAGAAAGAAAAATATCAGCCAACATTCATAGAGTAAGTGATAAATCCTGACAATTAGATTCAATAACCACGGTCAAAAACTTCGACCTAAATTAATCTCCTCCACCCAAAGATGAATGTGAAGTAATTAACAAGTTGAAGAAGCTACATCATTATAACTAGAATAAGAGAATCCCAAATCCATGAATTTCAAGATTGCAACTAAACTTATCAGAAATAAAATGAGGTTATGCTATATCTTATACATAGAAAAGGGAAAAAAAATTGCAGGATAGGCCCATGACTACCCTTATCCTTTAGTGGCTCCGCCACTGGGGTTGGGGTCTGGGGTGGATAGGGGTGGTGCGAGCGTGGGTGGGTGGGTGTGGGGTGGTGTAGGGTGATTTAGTGGGTGGTGGGTTTAGGTGGGTGCGGGTTGGGGCGTCGGGACGGTGAGGGCAACGGGGTGGTGGACGAGGGTGGTGCGGGGTGGGGTGGTTTAGAGGATGGTGGGTAGGTTGTGTAAAATTTGTATAAATATAATTAAACTTGTCGGAAGAAAATTAAATTTATAGGAACAAAATTAAATTTGAAGAAAAGAAATTAAATTTGTAGGAACGAAATTAAATTTATAGGAAATTTTTGAAAATTGTACAATATTTTTTTTTTATAGATGTCATCGCGGTTGATCACTAGTGGCCACCGCTTTGCCTTTGCTTCGGGTCAGAGTGACCTAGTGGTAGAGATACCCAACGGCATCTAGTCGGCCACTGTCGAGTAGGCACCCGGCCTCAGTACTTCTGATGCATCAGGGCGGGTGCCACAATCTGTCAAACATGTTCACAGTTAGAGATGACATGATCATGTGCCAACCCTAGTTCACCCTATTGACGTTGCAGAGCTCGATTAAGCAGTCGTGGATCCGAAGGGAGATGGAGAACTCCTAACCCCGAAGGAAGATCAAAGTGCGGGGAATCTATAGAAGCTTGGCCTCCAACCAAATCACTCGCTTTTCACAAAATAGGATCGTGGTCAATTATAGCTCACACCATTAGCAAGCGAGCACAAAAGTCAACAGTTTGTTGACTTACGATATGGGTGCCATCATCTGTACGAAATGCCTCATGGTTGCCCTTCAAGGAAGATGCTTACCCTTCCCTAGGTGCATGGCAAGATGATGAGACAGATTTCAGTGTGTGGAGTTTCGTTAATTAATTAGTTCTTTTACTTTTACTTATTTAATGTACTTTTTAATCTAATATACTTGTTTCTTTTGTCTATTTCGAACCAACTTCTCCATCAACATGGAGCACCTGGATACGAATGAGTACTACAAGACTTGTGCATCTCCAGATGGGCTCTTACAAATTGACCCCCAGAATCTAAGGAAAGGACTGGCCAGTGTGAGTGGTTGTGCAGTCATTTTTAGAGCCCGGCATTTCTGGTAAGTTTTTTTTTTTTTTTAATTTTAATTTTCAATTTCTGTTTTTTATATTTATGTTTATTTTTTTAAGTTTAATTAATTTTTTTTAATTCACATAAAAAATTGGCAGCAAATAAGGCTAATCGAGAAGCAAAGCTGCACCTTCATCAATCTGGTTCTCGGCCCTTCATTTTTTGGGTTGAGGAACATCGTGATAAGAGTTTGCTTTTTTTGGAAGTCGAGGCTTGGGAGATACGCATGCTAATTATGGAAACAACATTTATGTAAGTATTCCATTCAAATTTTAATTTCAAACTTCATTAACTTAAAATTTTTAAAATTATGATTGATAATCTTAATTGGTTACTCTATTTTTTGTAGACTTCTATGTTGCAGAAGAAGGACGAGTATATCGCCCAACAATAATCGGACACGTCAATGGAGGATTTGACATCTGATCTAGAGGTATCTCTACAGTTGTGGATGGACGGGGTTGGCCGACTGAAAGCAAAGAACTTCCCAGCCTAAGAGTGCGTCGAATTCAAGACCTCGGTGATCTTCTTCATCTAGCTGTTAGACTACAAGCGGGACGTCTTCCAGACTATAGCAGTTGGAGATGGAGCTAGCGGTCATGCGCCAGCAAGACGAAGAAGTTAGAGAAGATGCGCACCAGCGAGATGAGGGCATTCTGCTGTACATTGTTGGGATAACCCAATCAATGTCAGCCTGATCTTCTGAACCTTTAGCCGCCATCCAACCAACCACCTCAGCAGTCACCTAGTAGTTGTACTAAGTTTAGTATTTTTTACATACAATTGTTATAAATATTTTATTTTAATATAATTAAATAAAATTCTTTAATATTGTGATTTATTTTAGCTTTTTAGATTAATATAATTAGAATTAATTAATTAATTAATTCTAATTTAAATTTTTAAATTTCGATTTTTTGGAAAAATGTTTAAATACTTTGCCCAACAAACAATTTCGTTGAGCGGGTATTTCTTGTAATTTTTTTTTCAAATAATTGCCCTATGAATATTTCGTCGGGCAAAATGGTTTTTGAATTATTATATTTTTAGAAAACTCGACGAAATAATGTCATCGAGCAAGATTCTTTCGTTAGGTCAGGTCGGTCAATGCTCTTTTACCCGAAGACTTTATTTCGTCGGGCCAACTCTACTTGTCTGATAAATGTTTATTATTCGTTAGGTAAATAATTGAGTAGACCTGGTAATTTCTTACGCGACCCGTTAACACGACACATAAACGACACCAAAATAACAGCTTTCGGGTCAACACAATAACTAATTGGGTCATTATCGGGTCACACAATAATAACCCATTAATAACGGGTCCTTAACAGGTTTACACGAGAGTGACACACGGGTAACCTGTTTCGACACGATAAGAAAAAAGTTATTTTGATGATTTTAATTTTTTAAACTACTAAAAAAAACTTACTATAAAATACTATAGATATAATGAATATGTATATATTGTTTATCAATTATTATTCTATATAAATTTTAAAATTTAAGTTTTATTTATTTATTTATTTTAATAGTATATTATAGGCAAAGATTGAGATTAAAAATCATAAAACACATTAAAAATAAAAATATCAAGTAATTTAAAAATACCAAACACATTAAAAAAATTATAATAATTAATTTACATGTGCGAAAAATATGAAAAAATATGCAAATGCTCGTAGTTGCATCCTCTATGCTTTGAGGATGGGTATATGATCGTTTGAATTTTTAAAACCATACAAACTCATGAATAGTTTTTTTAAGGGAGTTCAAAATAAACAAAATTCATAATTATTAATGTATAAGTCTGAAAGATGTGAAAGCATAATAAACATTCATAATTGCATCCTCAATACTTAGACGATGGTTACATAATCGTTTAGATTTTAAAACCATCCAAATCTCATGAACAATGTTTTTTATTTGAGTGCAAAATTAATAAAATTAATAATAATTATTGCAGAAGTGTGAAAAAATGTAATTACTCGTAATGAAAAACTTTAAAACTTTCATGAAGGGATCAACTCCGAAATTTAGTATGTATATACTAATTTAGTATTATGTTTTACATTTTTTTGGTTCAAATTATGTTTTTCATTTTTATTGATTTAAATATATTTTTCTTAAAGGGTAACGGGTCGGGTTAACGGTTATTACACGACACGATCCGTTAAACTATCTGGTATGACACGAAAACGACACAAACACGAGAAACAACACGAATGCTAGGTCTATAATTGAGCGACGAGTTTTGGACGATAACTTTTGTCTGACAGAACATTGTCGGAAAAATAAAGGGGTGTGATATTCACACACTCATTTTTACTTCTCACACACCCTTCTAATTTTTGGTCGTCGAATCAGATGAATTAAAGAAGATCAACGGACAAAAATTAACAAATGGTTTGTGAAAAGTAAAAAAAAAATGTGTAAATAGCACATCCCAAAATAAAAGGCGACATTCACGTATTTAATCCGACAAAGTTATTTCATCTAGAAATGAGTTTTTTCTTAGTGTGCCCTAATAGCAAAGCATCATAACATTATGAATAGGTGTGTTTAGTGACACTATAATGCACCTACCCAACCACCTGTCGACCTGTCGACCATCAAGGAGATAACTGCTGGAGGTAAAAAAAAATAATAGAAATAAAAGAAGAAGAAGAAAAGCAAAAGTAAGAAAGGGACCATTTATCTACCTTTTTTTTTTTTAAAAAAAAGGACCATTTATAATTACACTTCAAATATATGATGACGCATCATTGTCACAAGAAGTGATAAAGCAAAATAATAAAGAGGGTTGGCATGCATCATAATATCTTCACCTAATGATCACTTTGGATGCACCATTTGTTATTTTATATATGCAAATTATGTAGTGAAAGTAAGAGTATAGCAGGTAGGGAAAGTGAAAAGTGAAAAACTTACTTAGCACCAGGCTTAGCAACATTCTTGAAAATCCTTTGAGCACTATTTCTGGCCTCCCATTCACTTGTAATCTCCGACTCTGCATTTCCAAAATCATCTATAGTTCTCGAAATCGTCGACAATCCCGAAGACCTAACGTAGTTTACAAGCCTCTTCACGCTCCACGCCGTTGCTCTACTCGCCATGCTCAACCTTCTAAGTTTCTCCATGTCAATCCTCCTCGACCCTTCTCGCCTGTAGGACCTTGAAACCGCATGAGACTTGTCTCGCAGCCTTGCAGGAACGACTTCGACGCCTGAAAACGACGCTGTGGAAGCTCCCTTTCGTCCTCGTCTAGTGGAGGCCCAGATAGGGCTTCCAAAATGTAGTGGTGGAAAACACTCTCTTTCATGCGATCAAAGAATGTGGCTACATGAAATGAGGATGCCAAGACTTTAACAAACAAGATCTTAAGCAGCCATATCGTGGCTCCGATCAACACCGCGATAAGAGCACAAAAGATTTTCTTGAGGACCTTGTTGTGCTTGTCAGGGAACATGATCATCCAAGCAACTAAAACTAGGCCTAACCAAGCACAATTTTGGAAACTCTTTCTCAAACCAAACACAAAGTAAAGTACCTTTTCTCTAAGCATGAAGTTTCGCTCTATGATAAAGACAAGAAACCCCACAACCCAACCAGAAACTAAACGCCCACAAAACATAACCATGACCATTACACACCATTTCCATATCTCCAAACCCCATTTCACGTTGTTTTTAAGAGAATCTAGGCGTAGAGAGCATACCAAGCAAGTCATTATTATGAGAAACAAAGTCCACTCAATTACAGCTCGCTTGTTTATCTTTCTCTTCCTTCTCTTTAGGTGCTTTCCTTGCTTGTCATCGTTATTTTCTTCTTCGTCTTCTTCATTTTCATACCAGTCTTCATCGTCTTCTTCATCTGTGGACGAGTTGTTGTCCTGATAGGGGTTTAAGGGCTGGAGTTGTTCAGATTCATGAATTGTTTTTGGTGGCAAAGGGTACTTAATCTCCTCAAACCGTGACCGGGGCTTCGAAAAGTTTAGGCGTCTAAGGGTTTTTGCACTTGATAAGGGTTGTGGGATTGAAATATTAGGGTCTGCCTGGGGTGACTGTTTGAGTTTAGGGTTTGGTTGGTCTATGGTGACTACTACATGGTCTGTGTTGCTCTTCTGGACCTCCATGGCTTGCATTCAACTCACAAAAAAACCCCCAAAAGTATATTATTGGATGGAAGTCTGTGGAAATGTGTTGGGTTTCCTCTAGGATAAAAGAGTTAAGAAGAAAACATTGATCAATGGAGATAGCTGTCGTTCTCTCTCTCTCTCTCTCTCTCTCTCTCTCTCTCTCTCTCTCTATATATATATATATATATATATTCATTCTAGATTGTAGATGAAGATTGCAATTCTCACGTTTTAGTTATGGATCATTACTTTTAACTTTTTTGGTGAACATTTCCGGTAATACAAATTAGGGACTGCTTCTATAAATTGGATGTCGCAGTCTAAAACCAACATTAATCAGTCAACAAATTTTGATATATAAAGGAAAAGGTCTTGGATCATATATACGTCAGTAGTGTGCATATGTTCTTATTGACTTTTAACCCCTACTTTGTTGAAACTCTTTATACACTGAGGATTAACGTTATCAAACGCACATATATAGGAGCCAAGCAGAGTTTGACGATTCCTCCCCACTCCACTCTACTCCCCCATCTACCACTGCAAGTCGACATAAAAATATATAAAGTTCAGATCAAATTTAGTGTAAAAATGTGGTAGGTTTAGCATTAATTTTGTTTTGTTTTGGCACACTTACACTTCATTAAATATAGTTACCAACAAAACTTATTGAGTATGAAAACATTCACGCTAATTAAAGCAGCCCCCTTTTCCCCTTCATGGTTCATTCCATCTACGAGCAATCCATTAAATTATAAGGAAAATTAATGAAAAATGTTTGAAAACTTTGAGTTTTAATAATAAAGACGAAATAAATGGTAAAATGAAGAGTACCAGGTTTGACTTTTTAGTGTAAAAATATGATTTTTTGTTAAAGTGAACAGTACCGTAAGTTTTCGTTAAAATTCCCTAGATTATATGATTCTTAATATGTACTATTTTAGTCAACTAAATAATTGTTGTCACCCCAAAATTAAGGAAAGGAACATCTATGTCGTCCTGTCGAATTGGTTGTGCTTTTTGACGCTTTAGAACCTCTCCATTATGTACTAGATGGTAAAAGAACGATGAGCATTTGTGTCCAGTGTCCGCACCAACTTTTTGAAAATCGAACGAAAAACAAACACTTCAAATACTTTCTTTAAAGTAAATCTATATATTATTGCATTATGTGGCGTGATTATCTCCAACAACGACTTGAGGTTAACAGTAATGCCTTGAGATTTAAACTCATTAGCGTTAATGGTTAGCAAAAAATTAGTTCCACTATATGTAATGACATGTCATGGTGACTGCATTAATGACCTATAAGTTATACTTCTTCCAAGAAAAAGTCTTTAATGTGTCATCCATCATTTATTATTGGAAGAGGATTTTCTCATCTCTTAATCTCTCTCATTCTTTTCTCTTTTATTTGAACGGTCACGGTTAAATCACGTCAACATCTTATATTGATTTTTTTTATAGAGATAATAAGATAAAAAACAATGTGTGAGAGGAGGGGAGGGAAGGCGATGTGAATAGGAGGGAAGAGAATCCTACTCCTTTATTATTCGGCCAAGTGTCAGAGCATGGTGTTAATTTCTTGACTTAATCAAATAAACGGTTCTCGTGGTGGTAAGGTAATCGTAAGATAACCCTCGTGGTAAAAAAAATAAGAATTTAAACTCTCATAGTGTAGTTTGTTAGCAAATTTAATCCAAATGTGATTTTTCCCATTAAATGCAGGGGTAAAAATGTACTTTGACATGTATCTTCTTCTTCCTCACCTCTCCTCTGTCTGTGATTTGTATTTGAGCAGCCATTTGAGTTTGAGTAATGAGAATGAGAATGAGAATGGTGGGAGGCAGTGGCGGATCCAGGATTTTAAACTCGGGGGGTCCCAATAATAAATTTCAAAAAAATTATAGACAAAAATAACATTAAAAAGTTAAATATAATACATTTCATTCAAAATCATACGCAAAACAACATTACAAGCTATAAAATCACAAAACAACAAATCGTCGTTTTTTCTTTGCATGCAAAGTGTATGGGAACTCATGCTTTGTAGGCCTACAAGGTCCCATTTGCAAATATGTTCTTTGAACCTCATCTTGAATATTAGAAGAATAGTCCTTCATTCGAATTCTTTTTCTTGGGTCTCTCTCAAGATTATTAAAATCAACGTCACACTCATTTTGTCTTGAGCTCGAACTACCAGAACAAATAAATGGTGCTATTGGCTTTGGAAGGAAAAATCTTTCCATATTTCTTATTTGTAAACTACATATTTAAGCAAAAACACAAAACATATACCGATTAACCAATAAACAAAAATTCCATCTAAATTCCAATGATAAAATGAGTATACAAACATAAAACATATCAACAATCATATCAATAATAGACTAAAAATCTCCATCAATATCTAATATAATTTAATTGAGATTAGATTAGAATTCTAAAAAACTTAATTGAATTTTGAACCAAATAGTGATGGAGTGGAGAATTAAAACAAGTGGATATATGATATTGGACTTACGTAATTATAATATGGGATTGGGTCATGGGTGAGATTAGAAATTTAGGGTTTTGAAATGGGGGGAAAGAGGGAACCAAATAATAGGGAATTGGGGGAAAAGCAGCAGGGAAAGAGAGAACTTTGGGGAAGGGCTCAGGGGGGCTGGGCTTTAAAATTAAAGCAATATTGAGTCATCATGCAGGGCAAACGACAACGTTTGTCTACCTTTTTGTTTTTTTATACTTAAAACAATGGGCCAAAACACAGCCGTTTTGGACCAATTGGTAAAAAGCCCTATTTTCTTTCTTCTTCCCGCAGCGTCTTCTTCTTCACTGCTACCTGCAACTGCAACCTGCAACCTGCACAGCAGCTCAAACCTTGTGTTCGAGGGGTCCCCCGGAAATTTTCTAACAGGGATTTAGGGTCGCCGAAGGGTCCTAGGACCTCCCAGGTCCCTCTGTAGATCCGCCACTGGTGGGAGGGACATTACTCGATGGGAAGCCAAAATCTTGAATCGGCTCAAGGAAAACCCTACAAGGATTGAGTTCATGTGGTTGTTTCGGAGGAACATGACTGGGTTTTCGTAGGGACTTATGATGGGTTTAATGGCCCTGATGCTCCTGATTACTTGCTTTCCAATTACTCTGCTGTGCACAAAGAACTCAAAGGTTGCTCTTGAATGACAAAGTTCGAAATTGAAATCGAACCCGCAGAAATAAATTCTTTTTCTTTTTTTCGTTAATATTAATGTGTATGAATCAAAATCCAACCACTAACCGCACATCCACATTTTCTGCCAGAAAAACACTAAATCCTCACTTAAAAACTTAACATAAAAAACAAAGAAAAATTACTATACCAAAATGAATCATTTACTTTATGATTTCCATAGATTGAAATCAAGAGAGGTGACCATAAAACTGACAACCACGACGACTTGAAACACTCGAAACGAGTTTTTCATTCATAGAAGCCAAGACTTATTTAAGCAAAAACCAAACAGACCAGCGGCACATGCAGAGAGACGGTGAAGTGGAAATGACTGGTTCAACCCCTGTTCGTGCACTCCCTCGCGAAATGGCTGGACTCAGCGCACTGGTAGAAGCCTCCTGAAGCACCTCCGCCTCCACCACCGTTACGACCACCACCTCCATAGTGCCTCCGCCGCCATAGCCTCCACCTCCTGAGAGCAGTCCCTCGCCATGTGTCCAGACTCGCCACACTTGAAGGGAGAATGTGAATAGAAAGAAAGAATGTGTTAAAATACATTTTTATCCTGCATTTAATTGAAATCTAACTTTTGGACTAAATTTACTAATGGACTAAACTACGAGGATTTAAATCTTAATTATTTTACCATGAGGGCTATCTTCCGATTATCCGATCAGGCCTAATTTCTTAAAGTGTGATTGGTTGTGATGTACCAAATTTATTGATTATTGCAGATAGCGCTCTATCGTAGTTACAGAAATCTATCATGCCTATACACCTTGGTGTGAGTTTAATCCTCATCAATGTTTCACAACTAACTTTCCAACTCATTAGAGTAAATTGTAGCAATGGTCTCTTAACTTTAACCTAATTGGAGTAATGGTCCCTCAACTAAAAATTCATTACCATTGGTCTCTAAACTCATCAAAACATGAGATGAGGTAGAGAGAGAGAGAGAGAGAGAGAGAGAGAGAGAGAGAGAGAGAGAGAGAGAGAGAGGAGGAGGAAGAGGGTGATTAGAGAGAGGATATGTGGGGTGGGGAAGAAGGGGATTTATGGGTTTCCGTTTTTTTAATTTAATTTATTAATTATTATTTTAATTATTTTAATTTTTTATTAAGTGTTTAGCCATGTGGCACAAATATGGCAGTCACGTCAGTACAAATTGAGACTCCATATTTGCCACATCATCACTTAACAGTTAACTTAATAGATTTTCTAATGGATGTATGAAATTGAAATAAAATGATAAGTAAATGTATGAAATTGAAATGTTTTATGGATGTTGTAAGGAATTGAAATTAATCCCAAATCTGAAAGGGTAAAATGTAATTTACCCAATAAATAAATAAATAAACGAATTTAAATTTACCAACTACATGTCTTCTTGTTGAGTGTCTCATTGTGATAATTGATGATATACATTAAGATTAGAGTAATGCAAGGTCGACCAAATTTTTAAACCAAATTTGCAAACTAAATTATGAGTCACATGTTGATGCACAAAATTAATGAGACTTTGGAACAACGTAAAGTGTCAAGTTTGTGACCTTCTCAAGGTTCATCTGATCACTAAGTGTAGGTGAGTATGTAGAGAGATAAAGATAGGGAAGCAAATGCAACATGTACGTGGTTCACCTTAAGTTGGGCTATGTTCCACGAGAGTAGAAGAGTTCTCGTTAATATTGAAGAATTTACACAATACATAGGTTCAAGCATAATCACAATGAGTGAGTTCTAATGATGAGTTAAAGTACAATAAGGACATTAGCGATTAATTGTA